AGAAAGAACAGGGCGGTAACCAGTGAGTCTATCGCATCCTCGTTTCATCCAAGCCGGGAGAAGTAATTTAAAGATTTCTCCCTCAAATAAAGTTTAATTCACGCAAACAAAACTCCAAGTACCTAAATGCTAGCTATCAATAAATACCTATATTCAATTCTAGGCCTCAGATTACTATGCAACATTGTAAGATAATAGCTATAATGCCGACACTTAATTTACCAATTACCTACCTACTTGTATCCACTACTTAATGAATAGATACTTGATTTTATTACTTAAATACAAAGTAAGCTCTATGAATAGGTATTCGCCATTAATAATCAACTACCTTTTTGCGATTAAACGATCCATTTAGCATTGTAATAAGCCCTTATAGTGGAATGGAGGTATGTTGGTATAGAGGACGGTGTTTAGCCAACATTTTTTCAATGAAAACTTTTATTCATTGGAGTTTAAAAATAATAGGCGTAAGTATTAATTAACATATTGAACATACAACTTAACTTCATATCTATATTTACGACTCATTCGATAAAAAAATCATTGATATTATAATTTCAGATTTTGAATAATGAGTCAGACATGCCCTTAACAGAAATACTCAATATGTAAGTACTTAGGAATAGTAACCGAGAAAGGAAGGCTTTCCTTCACTCTAAAAACTTCGCTATGTTAACACCGGTAGATGGCGTTGTTTTAACTTGCTGCCATTGCTTAACAGGGACATAGTTTTCTTTTCGTCAAAAAATAATATTACTTTTTATTTCTAGTAACCATTTTTGTTGAATAACGGTATATCTTCTGTGTTTTGATACCTACAACAACATAAAATATTCATTTATTCAGGAAAACGACATGTTTGTCATCTCAGTTCACTGGTTCCGAGAGGGCGCTACGGGCCATGTCTCTAAGATAAAGGAATATCAATTCTAGATACTGAAAAATAGAACTCAAAATCATTTGATAGCTTTCCTATTTACATTGTCGGGTCGAACAACAAGGGTTCTCTATTTATGATTTTCGATCGAATTTAATATGTGGAATTAATGTAAATTAAACGCTTTCTAGTTTTAAACCGACAGGATGTTGAATTTTATCAATTTCAATTTAAGTATTGCTAAACACGCGAGTGACTTAGGTATCTATGCTAATAACAATTAGGTTAAATACCAGATATCATATCGTTTTAAACCGCCAATTGAAATACTTACATTTTTGGAATACTTTATGTTGGTAGGTACCTATATACTTTTACATGGTATTCGCTAAGCCTTAATAACTACACATTTTCTTCTTCTATAGATAATGCCATATCCACAGGTTTCAAGTATTTAAAAAGTGTATAGCACTAAAATAGCATGGAGTCTGGAATTGTGCCCAATGTATGGGGATGAGCTCACCCCTATGAAACTTGTAATATAACTGGTACAAATTAGTTGTCACATTATAAAGATCTCAAAGATTAGGCGTGACAATTTGTTTTTATTTCAGTTTATTTAAAAGACTACTAAGTATCTAAACACGTAGAACTTGCCTATTATTGACTTCTAATAGTACTTACCTTTTCTGTTTTCCAGTGCCTTTACGAGCATCACACATATATTACCTAATCTAGAATTTCTTATACAAATTCGTAATAAAACATTTTCTCTAATCCATTGGCATTATTGTCACGATGCTCGTATGTTGGTTGCGAAGTATCTACGCAAGGTATGGCGTGCCTGTGTAAACTTTCCAACCGCATATGTTGTGCGATCTTATCTATCTTAGTGCGTGTCCGCATCTACCTACCATTCTAGTTAAGACATTTATGAATACACTGCATCAATGAAAGCTAGCTTGTGTACGTACTGAAACTATTAGTACTAGAAACTGTTACTTGAAAAAAGAAGGAAATGATATTTTTGGGAAATTAGAAAGCGTTTTTTAAACTCTTAATATCCTTTAGACATCATTAAACCAGGACATTTAATTCTAAAATGTACATACCAAACAGTAACTATTGGTAATTGGAAATATGAAAGCCTATCACACACAACACAGCGACATCGTCTATTTTTCAAGCTTTACTTAGTGAATACGTACCTAAAACGAAGATCGCTCATGTTGCTAATCCATTGCGCTTTACGAACTAGTTGAATATTTGCTTGAAAAATCAAAAACGCAATAGAAGCTTACTTTGACAATAGGAACGTTTTAAAGTGCCACAACCTAACTGTACTAACTGTAATAATTTAGAGGTAGTTTAAGTTAATAATTAAGTTGGCATTACCTAAATGACTATCAAGACTTACTTACCTTTTTTACCTATCATTTGGGACTTTAGACTAATCTTCTTACTAAATAATAAAGGAGCTTAGGTACCTAATTAGGTTCTTCAGCAGTTTAGCTCTTTAAAAAGTATACTACCTATTTGCCACTTACCTGTAGGCTGCTTCTATTTCCAGCTAAGTAGGTAAACTGAAACAATGCTTAGGTACACGTGGCTTCATTGCCTAGACGTACTCAACACGTGCAACCTCGGGATCGATACAGCCTTCATCAAATGGATAAGGACTAAATTACTTTTGTATTTCTTGAAATCAGTTTAACTCGTCGAGTACCGGTTTTATAGACACAATTAAAGAACAATAGGTCGCGGTCACCGGTGACCGCTTGGTGTTTGACAGTTTAAAATCCAATTAGGTACGATCCAAGAAGCAAAATAAAACAAAGGCAATACTGAACTTGCTAAAATCTCCATTTATAAATGAAAGGTAGTTTGAAATAGGACAAAAGTTGTTTCTGTCCTAATTTAACTCGGTTTTTGCAAATGTTCGTAGTCTTGGTTCAACTGAGTGAAGCTACCAATTCGATTAAATTGATATGCGAATCGTGTATAATGCTAATCGATTTTGAAATTGGCTACATTATAGCCAGCTTTATGATACGGCTACTGTCTAAGATCTATACATACACATGAGTCAAACTGCTGATGATTTCATAACTCATCAATACTTATGAGTTTACACATAAGCCTTTAAGTACTCGTTGCCTCGTCCAACTTCATCAAAGTAATAAGGAAACTCAAAAGGGGTAACAAAAGAAAAAATAACCGAGACACGACGAAGTATTTAATTTTTTCCCCTTTCATACATTCTCTTCTAAATTCGTCATAAAACTGTGGAGAGCACATTCATGTTTAATTATACATTATACTTAACGAAACCTCACATTTTCTGGCGTGATTAACTACATTAATTTAACTGTACAATAATAATTACGAGACCTTTAATTATTACAATTATATAGTTTAGGTAAGTAGGGTTCTAATCATAGTATCTACTGAAATCGTTGAATAATACACAGTCAAGCTGTTCTCTTGTGTTTTATCTGAAAAGCAAATTGCTATTGTGGATTGAGGCCGCTCGAATGACTAATCAAACCGTGGTACTAAGTACTTTGCCGAATTGATAACCAACATACGTTTTGAATCACTGAGTAAGATTGAGCGTTCGTGTATTGATTGCTTTTCAGATAAACTTGATGGAAAAATTAGGATCCACATTCATGTACATATAATGTAGGTACCACACAATGGAAACTTCATATTTGCTTAAATTAGTCTTCCATTCGTCTAAGTTTCAGCGAAGGTTCATTAGATGCCTCGCTTCTCATTTATATAGAAATTCGGTCACCTAGACGAGGTCGCCATTTGTACAAAAACACCTAATTTTAATTCACTATATCATTACGGGACAATACAGATTCAATGAATTAGATCCGAGGAGTAAACTACTAAGTTTACAATAAAACATTTATTAGGTACATAGATATAAAATAGGTAGCTAAATAGTACAAGGATGATATTCTAAGACTGGGATGATTTCACTTCGACTACTAGATGATAAAATCCAAATAATTTCAAATAAATAGTACCTAGTGTACTGGATTCGTTCGATGTAGAGCAAGATACGTTTATAATAGATTGTAATTACACTCGTGTATAAATAAATAATAAAATATTTAACTAAAACAAAAATAAAAATAGTAATAGACAGGCTAAAGCGAACAGTACAATGATCAATAGGGGACAATATTAATGCACTTGCCCATATCACCTAATTAATTGATTATAACATCAACTTCAATATTTAAAAAAAGTCATAACAGTAACTTAATGTATAATTCTACTGGAACCGAGTTAAAGCTTTGTCAGAAATCCATAATTTAAATAACAAAATTTACGAATTATGAGATAAGAAATTAAACAGTAATAAATATTTGATCATAATGCGATTTCTATATTTGCTTATGTATAGATATGCGATGCGTCGATGGTAGTGATAGGTACGTAGTACGTAGCAAGCTGCTGCGTCTGTTAGTCGGTGAGGGTAGTAAACAGGTCGCGAGCGAACATATATCTATAACTGCCACCAAAGCAACCCGAGTCGTTTAACAATTTGGTAACGAAAATAAAAGTTAACTGATTAAAGACTAATCCACCCTTCGAACAGCGATACGAATACAACAATAAGCAGTCTCACAAAATATTTTACAAAATTTCTTTCAATAAACTATCTAGAAACTATAATTCATCGGTGACGTCTTTAATATTTCGTAATTCGTACTTAAATAAATTTCAAATACATAATCAGCGCTATTACTAGACATTATTAATATCAGGAATCGTTATCTACTCATGTATATACTTAGTCTCGTTAAAATTACAGAACATAATTTCGTAATTAATACTATACACAAATCGACAACACAGTATTATCTTAGTGCGAGATTCTCTGGGACTGAGGCGCGCACGGCACCGAAGCGTCCACTTTACGTACGACACGGCATAGTGAACAAACGTCTAGTCCATCGGGTAACGAACCTGAGCATAGTCCTGTTGGAAACTTAAGTACGACCACATTCCACACTATAGTCCAATGGAACTCTTCCTTCCCGACTGTTTAGCTAGCTATACCGTGGTGAAGGGGGTAAGTCCCAGAGAAGGGCACGGGTCACTGATGATGTTTGGGCGGCGGCGCGTGGTGCAGCGCCACGTGGTGCGGCGCGTGGTGGTGCCCGCCGTGGTGGTTGTGGTTGTTCGCATTCGAGTTGTTGTTGTTGTTCTGCGCCGCCTGCGCCGCCTGCCGCTGCGAGTTCTTCTTGTTCTTCATTCGTCTGTTCTGGAACCATATTTTCACCTGCCTCTCTGTCAGGTTCAGATTTCGCGCCAATTCCCATCTCTTTTGCTTTGAAACGTAAGCGTTAAAGAGGAACTCTTTCTCTAGTTCGAGGGTTTGGAACTTGGAGTATGGTTTGCGTTTTTTGCGCACAGTAACTTGACCGGTCCAATCCAGCGGATTCGAGGACCCGCAGCCGACACCCACGCCCACCGACATCGACAGGGAACCTGCACAAATAAAAGACGTGTTTAACTTGGAACGAAAAGAGACAAAATTAGGGTTAACACTGGTATAAACACACAATATTTATCTATTGGCACGACTACACTCGGTAAAAATGCAACAATGCACATAAATCTCTAGCCATTCCATCTGCTTCCTTTGCTAACGTAGGAAATAATTTAATTTTTGCAACAACAGGATCGTAATTACGGTCTCGAAACCAGTCATTCTTATTCGGCCTGCTATTCGTTAATTGTCTCGGGCCGAATGCATTACAAACTGCACCGGCTGCACGTTTCGCTTTTAACTAGCTATTTCCATGCCGTGTTCATAGAAACAATTGTGGGCCGGCACGGCGCGTTAGAAGTTAACACACACCGCGATTTATGTGACCGGTCCTTTTGATGAGATCACCCGCAATAAACTTTGTATGCGATCCGCGACCTTCTCGATATTCGATGCGTGCAACACACTGCACCATTTCCTATTATTCAAAATGGTACACGTAGGAACATTGCGAAATAGATGCCTCATTGTCTAGCGGATGAGTGTGACCGAGTGTCGTAAGACGAGTTCGTATCTCGAAATGCACAGAACGGTCGTATTATCCCACACACGACACGAGCGGTTGTCTCAATCATGCTTGAGCTTTCAAGCCTCTAGATACCAATTTACTTTAGAAAGGAATACAAATTAACTTTGCTTTACAAACATTACTTGAAATGTTAGTTGTGAACCGATTTTCTATTTCATATTGAGTAAGATGTAATCTCAGAAAATTACATCTTGTATAAGCTGCTGGTAACATGTGTAGGTAATAGAAAAACATGTGTTGAAATAATCTCTGATATTGTCGGACCAATTCCGTGTTATCGAATTCGTTTGAGATTTATAAACATGGCTATTGACACTTGTATTGCAAAATATTTTAAATTGAAAAATATTGTTTTTCCAATATTTCACTTTTGTATTTTGAAATTGTGGGTGACTGGGATTGATATGGTTTTTATGATTTATGGTGGTCAGTGTTTGAATTAAAATGGGATTACAAAATGTAGTTCATTGTTTGCCAATGTTCAGAGTTATGATTTGAAATCCAATATTTATGAATTCTCACACAATTCAAATGTATTTTTGCTAGAAACAATCGCATTATTCATAACTGCCCTACCACAATCGGGTCCCGTTTACCATCATGATTTATTTCTTTGAAACAGCTCTTTGAATATTGATGAAATGCCACTAATGTGTCAATCTGTATTGTACTGACGTCGCAACTTGATGCGGTAAGACGAATTATGCTAAGCAGATTATCGGAACCGTTTAATGTTAAGTCAATCTTTTACTTTAGATAGCTCTATCCCTTCCAACCAAGCAATTACCTTGCAGTTTTAGAACGTAATGTTTATTAAATTTGAATATTTACATTCTTCATCAAATATAATTTATTTTTTACATATTTACTTTAAATTAAATAAAGAAGGAAAAAAATGTTAGTTATAATCTTTTTATGAAGTTGACTCAATAAAGCGTAAATTGTAATAAACGGGAAAATTATGAATTTATTGGACTTAATGAAGCAACTGTTAATTAGGATTATGAAAGCAAAGGCTAATCAATTGAAATGATACGACAATTAAAGGACCTTTTTAACTCATAAACTTAATTGGTTGCTCAATGAATTAAGGTAATTTTTATATAGTGGGAGACAAAATAATTTATTTAAAAAAGAGTATATATTAGAAAAAAGTAACAGTTGAATCTCAGTCATTTGTTCTCAATTCGTGAAGGAATTTTATTTTTTTTCATATGAAAATAACTTTTTGCACCAAGATAGGAAAGCTATGTACCGAACTTCTAATAAGAAAATTCGAAATACATCTCTCTCCCTCTCCCTCTACAATACGGCTTCCAGTTCAAATTACCCAATAATATCTTCAAAACAACCAAGACAATACATTAAACAAAATGAATAGACCACATGCATCGCAGTCCAAGGTAAAATAATAAGCAAGTGGGCGTAAAAAGCCTTCTAGTCGGGTTTCTTATTCCGTGGAACAAACGGCAATTGTTTAAAGAGAACATAATGACAAGTGGAGTTGTCAATTATGAGGGAATAGGTAGCGATCAGGAGCTATAAAAGTGCGGGTTCTCTCCGACCATAAAAGTTTACCTACCCGACCGCGGGCTTTGTCTATTTCGTTTACCAACATCGCTTTGCCAATTCGCTACGGAGACCCTTCGTTATTCCAATGGGATAGAGTCCAAAATGGCACTATCTAAAGGTTTCTGTTTTGTAGACGAACGCCCGAGCAAACGTATGATTGAAAGGAATTTCTGAGTTAAGATGTTTCCTTTGGCGTATACTGTGAGACCACAAATGAATTTCTCCGATTTTGTTTCTGTATTTGTTTATTAAAAATGTAAAAGTAAGCTCAAGTTGATAACAAGTAAGAACCATATGATGTTATGATTGAAGATTTCTGAAGGAATCTGTATATGCGGTGAGAAAGCGGAACGTTCCGAGGCAGTCTCACTAACGGAGCCATTCTACAAACCGTTTACTAAGCCGTAAATGCACAAATCAAAGTCAATGTCAACCTCAGGTGGGCCGTAAACACACAATCATAAAGTGACGTGAACACTCGTATAACTTTTTCAACAATTGTTTCCTTTTAATGGCCCATTATATGCGCGTTTTACGCAAAATTATGTCAAGTTACACCTCTGCCGTAACAGAGGCGCGATAAACCCATCTTTATGGTTAGGCGGCGATCGAAAGCGAACTAGCGGCGAGCGTTTATGAATGGAGCCTTTTTATTGCTCTCATATTTACATGGCGCTTGTAGTTTAGTAATTACTACTTACTAGCGCGATTTGGGGAAGGAACCAGTATTATTGCATGTATGTGACGTGGACGTGGTTTTACGATTCATAAAAGTGATATGTATCTACGAGCGATGCTAGTATGCATCGGCCGGGCGGCCGGTCGCAGTAGCCTCCTAGTTTTTTATCGTCTCATCAACCTGTAATGTGTTTATTGTAGCAATATTTGGTTTATTGCCACTACTCAAAGATCGGTTTATTGTCTTAACGCTCAGGTATCGTGTTTATTTATTAGTTATACATTTTTATTGGCGCTTTATTTTACGTAAACTTTAATTTATTGTCGGTTGTATAGCACCGTTTTACATTGCCTATAAAAAGGTGCTTACGGTTCATTTTTAAACATTTGTAGCACGTGTTTCGTTCATTCATCAAATTTATGGTGGTCTGTGGGAAAATGTTTTGGTTTGAGCGTTCAGTAGCTTTCTGAGGGAGTTCTAAGGGATTCTGTTATGGCGGTGCACGCTAACCCAATGTTTGTTTCTCCAGCTATTGACGTTTTCGACATTTTAGTGCTTCGAAATGGATTTTAGGCAGACCTAAACATTTATTTACAAACTTACCTGTTGCTTAAGGATTACTTTTGTTTCTGACTCCTGTTGATAACATAGAATATAACTATAATGGGTAAACGTAAAACCGACTCTAATTCATGAATAGAGACAATTTTCACATAATAAAATATATACGAAAATATATACAAAAAATTAGTTACACACAAAACATACATAAATCCAGTGCATTTTTACTGAATATATGAAGTTACCATACGACCAGAACATACATCATACATTCATTATAACATATAAAAAAGTGTACGAGTACAAAATATCGTGCAGTCGTGCCAATCAGCTGTCTTCGATTAGAGGAAAGAATGCGGTATCAGACGCTGTGAGTGCTAGTGTGCTCGCTTCATATGAGACACCCCCACAACGGAGCGCGGTGCTGTCTCTGTGTGCGTGCTAGCCGCACACATGCTTAGCCCCGCTCGCTGTGTGCGCCCCGCGCAACGCCCTCTAGCGACCAGCGGACCGCAACCGCGGGTCAAGGTTGACAAACTCATAATAAATTATTTACAAATCAACTTATCAGTTTCAGCTTCTCGTACATTATTATAAAATGCAAACTTAAAAGTACTGTAAAAGACAATTACGAATCCAACAGCTCACGTTTTAGTAGGTATATATCGAACTTATATTAGTATTTGTTTATAAATTCCGATAAATGTTTTGCTGAACTATGTTTGGTTCTAGTCTCGAGGCACCGATAAGTTTCAAAGATTACAAACAGCGATGCTGCGACCGGACGTCAAAAAACGTGAGCTCTGGGTTGGTGGCAATCGTAAATATACATGCATGAGTAATAAGATGTTACTGACCGGGCAGAGAACCTGGAGGCGGGTAGGGTGCGCTGGAAACCGATTCTGGCGCGTAGTTTCGTAGGCCGTACGCGTCGTGGGAGAAACTGGATGCCTCGGAGACTGCCGTCCTGCGCTCTTCACCACCGACGTAGGGTAAGGGCTGGTCACCGCGTGGAGCTCCGTACGGGTAGTTCCAGCAAGGCTGAGAGAAGCCTTGGTGGCAGCCGCCATCAGCGTACGGTTTGTACTCGCCGCTACTCGCTGGCCAGAAAGGCAACGTAGATTTACGTTCCCTCTCAACGGGCAGATTGTAGTAGGTAGGTCCAGCTGGATACTGGTGCTCAAAGGAGCCAGGTGCATCTGGCGGGTAGCCCCATGGCTGTTGCGCGTGGCGGATAACACCTGGCTCTGGCTCGTAGCGCTTGGCTGGGATGTGCAGCGGGGGCTGCGGTGGGTTGGAGCCCACAGAAGCAGGCGAGGCGCTGGAGGCGGACGGCGGAGCAGCTGCTGGGGCGGCCGGCGGGCTGCCGCCGGGTGGCGACGCGTGCGGCTCCTCATAGAGCGCGCCGCCGACCCCGTTCATCATGGTCCACCAGGCCGGCCCGGCGGAGTGGCCGGATGGGGGCGCTGGCGACGCGGCCGCCGCATCGCAGGGCGCGCCGAGGCCCCCGACATGGTTGTCAGGGTACAGGGTGGCGGCCGGGCAAGCCACGGGGGATCGGGACGGTCACAGGCAGTTCACGCGCGTCGCGGGCACATCGCACCGCGCACACACGCGTCCCACACACAGGAGCAGCACATGAAAATCAAAACGCGATCCCGATTTAGCTAGCCGGCCGGACGGGACTCACCGCAACGTAAACTGTCCAAAAAACTATAACTTTCAGCTTGGGTGAAAGTTTTAAAAACTATTTCGAGAGTGCATCGAACAGTCACTGATATGATAAGCTCTCGTAACCTCTAAAATATTTTAGTCCATTTAGAAGAAGTATGTAACAGTCTCTATTATTTTTGCGGTAAAGTTTATTGTAAACAATTCACACATCAATTTTCTTAAGCAGAAAAAAAGTTTTTGTATTCGCAGGATAAAGTTTGTAAGTGACGCAACAGTTTTCTTATTTATTTGAGTGGACGTATTGGTAGGTTGTTGTCGCGAACGTATCGTGTTTGTGCGATCGGTGCGGCGGGGTATACGCGAGGCGCGCGTTCAGCAGCGCGGTCGAGCGCGGAGTGGCGGCGGCGTGTGCCAGTGTGACGGCGCACACACGCGCGCACGCTGCGCTCGCCATCCGGCGGCGGGCAGCGGAACTAATCCACGTCTCCTCACAGAACGCTACGCGTAGCAAGCCCGTAGGCGGGCGGGCTGGCGAGGCGCCCAGTTTTATGCCCTCACGTTTTTTCCCGGATTTAGAATATTGGAGGTATATTTTCTTCTATGCAATTTGCTATAACTCAAAAAAAATGTGCAAACAGATGAAAAAAATGTTTTACGAAAGTTGGTTTTTATATTAACTAAATGTATTTTTTTTTTAATTTACTTTTGTTATCTAAATATAAAACTATATCCTAACAATAAAAATAAAAGGTGCGCACTACATTACTACCTTAGCAGCACAAGTTGATTGCGTGCGGCCAGTTGTATCGTAGTATCTCAAAGGGTTGTCAAGAGCAGAGGCGCGGGTGCGTAGTAAAGCGATTAATGGAGGCAAAATAGCCATAAACTGCCGTTTAACCAAACTGCAAGCATCACTCGACCATCGTCGACTTGCCACCAATAAAAAACGCGAGACTTTATGACGGCAACTCACTCACATTTTATTGTGAGTATAAACTTAATTTTATCGTCTGTTAATTTCACCACAAATAATGTTAGGCACCTACTAGATTAAATTATATAATTTTATTTTATTGCTATTGTCAATGGCAAGGCCGCGGACTAATGCCTTATATTCAGCTAGTTCAGTGACTGTGAAAATAAGTGGTTTTATGAATTAAGTATATGTCTAGATAGATTAATGGTTGCTACTGGTATTTATACCTGCAAGCATTTATACATAGATTAAAGACAGAAACTTTATGTAAAACTCGATTAATAATGTTAAAAACTTTTACTAATTGACTCAACATGTTTTTCGTTTCCAATTGTTACTAGAATTGAACAAATAGGGTGCTACATGAAAAAAGGAACAGGAATTAATTGTCGTGAAACGTCTAAGGAGCATGTAGATGGTATAATTCGCCACACCCCCTAGCCACCCCTTGAACAAAGCCGTAACAACCAATAAATTCAAGCAATATTTTACACATGTATAATGTTTGCACAAGACACGGCAATAAAATATATCAGGCGAACAAAGCTAAAACATACATATATTGAAGTTATGTCGGCTCTTGTTAACTTACCGAACAACACGGCTCGCTAATATAACCGAATTGTCAAAATAATAAGGCAGTGAGCTGCGTTACTAGCGAAAGCGAATAGCGATTTGAGTTAAATGTTATTCAGTTATTTCTTATAGGTACGTATAGTTTATTTATATTTTACAGTTGTTTTATTTGATCGCTACTTATAGAACCCTTCTCTTATAGAATCGGTTCGGAGTTGTATTTTTGGTTTTATCTTTTAAGGATTATCTTATTTAATTTTAAATTAGTAATTTTTTCCTACGTAGGTGCATTTTTTCAATAACACAAACATGTTATTATATTTTACGAATTATTAAATGACATAAATTAATTTGTAAATGTCATTGTGAGCACCGCTTCTCGCTTTCTGTTGCACCAAAGGTTACCGTAATACCAAACATTAATTTCCCACACTTAGCGTACGAGTAATTACAATAGGTATCGTACAATGAAAGCCAAAACGATAAATTCGCAACACTTTGTGGACATGTCAACAAAACTAATAACAAGGATTATGTGTGCTTTGAAATGTAAAAATTTCAACACAAAAGAGATTTATAAGTACAGAGGTGCACCTCTATGATTCCTGTTTGGTGTATTTACATTGTGTAATGTCAGTAATAACATGACACAATAGTCAACATAGAAAGAATTTATAAATCTCTATTTCTAGCGATGATTTATGTATGTACTTGTGTACCTGGTAAAACACCTCTAACCATACATTAACATGTAGGCATTAGGCACAGTAAATACTCACCAAGTTATTCATACCCACATAACTCAACATAACGTATTAAAATATCCAACTGCGTAGATATTTAACTAGATTGTGTATGTGAGAACGCTCTGCATACCAGAGACGCTCATATTTACGCAAATAAAAGTAAAACCGGCGTAACGTAGACAAACAAAGATATGTTTTACAACATAGAGGAGCTTTATGTAGGAAGAAACGAAAGTAACATTATCTTGGTGCAGTAGCAGGCGAGCACAAACAGTCGAGCCTCGCGTTGAATGACAGAAACAAACATAGGAACAAGTGTGCGCTTACGCCGAGCCCGTCTATAAATATTTACGTTAGGAAACTCTTCAGGCCAATGGTCGGCCATACATCGAGCACGTAAATAAAAGTACGCTTTCTTATCTCGGCACATGTGTGCGGGAGTTGCGCAAACTAGATTGGGGCTATGTATAAATAATGTTCGGACTTTTGTAGGTTAGGCTCGAACCGTTTTTTACACCATCAACGTAGCAACAATGGTTATCGGAAACACGGTAGCAAACTCATTAATACAGCGACCGTATTCATTATAAACATAATTTATCGCTTTAAGCTCAGGTTTATAGAATCTAGCAATTACTATAAATCTTTGCTGGTAACTCGTAATCAAACTCGGCCTTAAATGTATTATTTACAATAATTTTGTTTATTGAAGAAATGACATTGGCAATACGAGGAAAACTAATTATCTGAGCGTCAGGCAATAATTAATGTTTATTTATAAAACTGCGGGCTTTTATCAAGTCACGCATAAATTCATCATCATTACTATACATTTTTAGGTATAGTAATACCTTCTCAGTATAGATTTATTACACCCACAAACCTAAATTCTATTATCCCATATATTATATCGATATTTATACCATGAACAAAATGTATACCTATAACACTATTGGATCCTGACATTCTTGATACGTTTATGTTGCGTTACTAATTTTCAGTATCGGCAACGTCGTACAGTACATAATATATTGAGGCAAGTCAACAAGAACAAGTCTGCATGATATCGGCTGAGATAACGGTTCGACTTCGCGTTCCCATCGCCAAGGCATAAAATAGATTGTAAAGAAGGCTTTAATGCTCGTCCCAATTGAAAAACTCGTCTGCTCTCGACTTTCTCTGAACGCAAACTGTAAATTGACGAGTAACCTGGAGCTGTACCGTTCAGCAAATTAACATAAAATGTTGCCTTGTTAAAATCTTTGACCAGTAAAAAGGTATCCTGTTACGCTTTGGAATTTTTTCTTCTTATTTACGATTACGCCTATAAATCGTATTTTGTAAATCATGTAATTATAACAAGTAATTTCAAAGTAATTAAGTTGGAAATTTTTAAAAGATCCTTTTATTTAAATAAAAGGATCTTTTAAACAGTGACTGTTCGATTAACAAATAAATTACTTTAACAAATCAGTTTGCTCTACTACTTACAATTACGGTATAATAAAACGTAATTATTTTTACAAAGTTACAAAGGTTATGGTTCAATTACTGTGATTGTAATTGAATGTAAATCTTGTTGGAGATGCAGTTTTCTAAGAGACTTGAATAATGAAACTAGTTACTTTAAACCAGTACCTATTATGAAATGATACAGGATGTCCTACGAACTCTTTAACAATGTTTTTCGTAGGAAAATTGATATAGATACTGGAGATAGCTAATTTCAGTACAAGAAAACTATGTAGGTTTCAGCTAGTATATAATTCCTTATATCAATAAAAATGGAGACTAAGTATGACAATTTATTTTTCAACTGCAAAATAATTCAGCATTTCCAAAAATGTGAATCAACCTTTATCAAATAGGTCTTGCATGCCTATATTTTCCTTGTACCTAAGTATCGTAAACTGACGTCATAATAACATAAAGAAAATAGCGTAGCATGTAAATCAATCATTTTACAATAGCTATAAAAACGTTAGTTGAAAAATATGCATTGCTATTTTAATAGCTAGCGGAAAACATCTATTGATTTTTCTCAATCAGTTTTAGTACTGAAATTATTTCAGGTGCGATGGCTGTTTATATATATATTATGCAGTCATCTAACTTGAATTAGATTCATTTAAATACTTCGATAAACTTTGTAGCCATAATAAATTGTGTGTATTAAAATAAATGTACCTGTAAGTAAAGTAATTTATCCGAAGTCATGAAGTCGTGACGTCGTGTTAATCCTAAGCTATAGTCGATGCACGGGGGATAATCCGCTAATATACACACTAATATACGAAATAAAAAATTCAAATATAATATTCACCTTGTCGTAAACTCGCTAGCGACGTTTGCGTAAAAGGACACGGTAACCTGCGAACAAAGTATAAAAAGATATAAAAGTTGTAAATATATACCAACAGTATTATAAATTATACAAATTCATTGTATACAAGTACGTAACTACACACTAAACGCAGCTCCGGTGTATCCAATCAGAAAATTGTAAAACGTTTATTGGATAACACTATGCGGCGTGTGTTAATTAATTCGTTAATTACTTCGAGACCTACAACCAAAACCATTATTAATGACATATGTAGACATTTATGAGATTGTATACTTTTATTGTTGTTATTAAGCGTAACTGCTCTATGCCGTGAGAGGAGGCGGTATGTAACTGAAGAAGTCGTTATAGAAAGTTTTTTGTTTTCGAAAAAAACTTTTTTACTTTGTTATTTCGTGAATGGGCGATATTTAGTCAGGTGAGGCGATAATTTGAAAATAAAATGGCCATATTTTATCGAATTTTGTATCAAAAGCGACGTTAATTCGACTTACGGCTTAAGTCTTTACCCATAGGTATTAGGTATATACAAATACAAGATCCGCATTAGAAAGATAAAACGGAGAGGATGTCAGTCATTTTCACGGTCACTACACACTGACGGCTGAGAAAATTTATACGCGACATAAGGGCCAATTACGTAGAAAGTTTGTATCAGGAGGTTTCATTACGACGTGTCTAATGAGCGCGCGTGGAACTGCGCATTAAATCATCGCCGTATAGTGCACACCCGCCGCCGACATTACTCAGTTTATTTTTAAGGCAAACGCTCCTCCACCCACAAACATCCCATTGACAACTTCTAAGGTTACAATTTTATTTCCTAGCTCCATTCGAAGCCAGTGAATATAAATAAATCCTTTCTAAGTCATTCGATACGGCGGTAAGTCACGAAGTTTACATAAAATAGGTGATTTGCGCCGAATGCCACGGTTATTTTTTCTGATTTTCGTTTGGGGGTGCTACCCCATGTTTATGAGCAAAAAAAATCATGTTTACAAGCCTTTTTTAGCTAACGATTACGTCGTATACGTGTGGGAGTCGTAAATGTTTTGTGTTACCTAACAATTAGGAAGACGATGACGAGTGATAGATAGCAGTTTTCCAATGAAAGTACCCACCAGAGGTTTTTAGTTTCGTTTATTGATGACAAGTACTGTATATTACTTATAAATTTTCACATGATTTTCAATATTGGCTGATGCAACAAGTTATTATGATATCTAAAAGTGTATGTACAGATAAGTTTATAGATGTAATTAATTTCTGCAGCTGTTTGACATTCACTCGTATTAAATACATAAAATAGCTACAAGAGATTAGTGGTAAGTCCGATACTAATTGGAAAACTTGAGACCCATCTGCGCCGAAACTTGCTTGATACTCATCTAAGTTTATACTCATTCCGTCCCTGACTAAACTTCGGCGCGCGTAATCCGGCCGAGGGTTTAGTTAACCAAGACTTTTTTTACTTTTTTCATTAAGTACGAGTAAATAGAGCAGCAGAACTATGGCGGAGGGCACTCGACTTGACATTTACGACTCAATCCCGAAACATAGGCCGCCGGCTGGCCAAACGGGGTGTAATTTTCCCAACTTAGATTGAGCTCGCTCTCCCCTCGCGTCGCCGTGCTACGCAACAGGATGTATGGTGCCCGGATGTGAGTTTAGAGGTCTTTGTACAGTGGTGGGTAGAGAATTTCAATAGTCAAAGTGTCAGGACGAGTTTGGGCGCGTATTACAAGCTGTCAGTTCACGTTATCTGTACCACAAGTATATGTTATCGGAATGTCTCTCCCACGGTTGGTTGGTCAGGCCCACGATACAGAACTGTTTATGCTGTGGCGTTTTATCATAAAACTGTCGTCGGCTACGATCTCAATAAGACCGACAAAACATTTCCGATGATAGATCGTGTACAAGATTTATTTTTATGTCTTTATAATAGAAGTTACATAAAAATGCGAAAAGTTGTAATTTTATTGCGAATCCTAATTTTATGATCATTTAACATGCATAGTTGATATGCTTCAGAAGGTTGTTAGACGGCTATCATTTGTATCTATGTCGCCATATTTACAATAACAGGATCGCGAGGGTGTAGGTGGAGGTCCGAGCGGTTAATGGTGCGAAAACTGACTGGATCATATCCCTGGGTTTACGACTCGAGAGTAAACGGCCGATTCATTTGCAATTCTAACTGCGACTCGTATACAAGTCGCCTGCGATGCCTCGCCGACGTCAAAACACGCCTGTCTACTCTCTGATTTCATGTTACGAATATTATTAAATGTTGGAATAGCGGTATTCCTAGATAAACTTCGTAATTTATTCTGAATCTGAGAGAGATTCCATTTTAAGCTCTGAATAAAGACGATTGCGTTACCTACCTCTAATATATAATGTGGAGGTTAAACCCACTATAGCCTCTGTATAAAATAAACATTCGTGTGTCATTAAGTAACGTGACAAAATGCTAACGATACATTCATTTCTATAGCACGTCACGTTGTTCTTCGTGGAACAATACAATTTTCCACACCGGATCCCGAATCATTAGGGCATCTACACACATAGCCTTACGCATGTAGGTAACTACTTGTCGAAAAGCCGGTGGTCCATCGTACTTAGTATTCTAAACACGCTCACAGGCCGATGTTATCGTCAAGGACATATATTGTGATTCGTAATCGTAACCCGGCCCGGAATAGATCGCCCGCCCGATACCATCCGATCGATGAATTAAAATGTCTATGAGCTCTCTATGTTGTGTTTGCGTGGAAGGGTTTTCATGCGCCGAACAAATTCTGCTGCCGGCAACTTTACTGTTTGCAATACCTATGTAAATTTATCGACTGGTGTACTTATTCAGCCCCCTGATAAATGCTCATTTGCTTGGGTCGCTGGTTTACGAACAAAAATAAATGACGAGGCATGATTGGACTGGCGAACGCAATGTATTTGATTGTGCGTCCGAGGTATATGCGGGCCTTTATTGGGTGCAGACATGGTTACTTAGTCGTGATTGGTTATTTGAAAGGTTGAATGAGAGCACTTTATTAGATCACTGTTTTAAGTAACAACAGCAATTTGTTAAAGTTCCATTACCTAAGATTCATTTTCTGTTCTAAATTCCTAACGTCCACTTTGCAGTGAATCATACCATTTTTTTATTCACTTCGTGGTATAAATATCACACCTAACTAAGTACATTTGTTCATAAAGACCAACGTTACATTCATAACACACGCTCACGAAGTAACGACTGAAATAAACTTAAGCCCGTAGAACATGTTTCTTAAAATAAAAAAATAAAAACATTAATTTGTCTGCCCACTAAACACCACACAAACATACCTTTCCACTTAGCCTGGCTTCATACCATCAGATTAAAACATCGTCATGAATATCACAATCGCAAGATTGCAACAATGTAGTATATAGTTTGTCGGCATTTAATATATTTTTTGTGCCTGTAAATTAACTTACTGAATTAATATGACAAGGTGTCAGGAGAAACTGTATGCGGCCTGTATTTTAATGAAAATTGGATGTCAGGATTGTGTATTTTAATTAGTCTTGAATGTAGTTATATTGAGGTTGAGACTTGTACGGGATCAGTCGTAAAATTAAATCGTTTCGTATGTGGAAGGATTTTCGTTACCGATTTTGAGGCACAGATACCTTCCTATCTACTCATTCCAAGGAGACGGAGTATATAAGTAATTGATACGTATAAAAAAACGCTTGTAATATTATAATGGCTTAATCTTGAATCTCATAATTTGTCAGAAAATATCTATTAATCTTAAGACAAAGGGTAACCTACTATCGATTAATTAATTATTATGTAAGAGCTTGTCATTGTTTTATCTATAGTACTAACATTGTTTTATGGAGATGACATCTTAATCTACAGTCATTACCTTAATGTATAACATATCAGTCATCTACGTAGGTAAGTATATAAGAGCATGCAATAAAAATGTAAATGAGTCTGCGAGCGGGCGGGGCGCACTCCAACGGAGGCACGTTGCACATAATGCAGTTTGACCCGAAAGCTACCTGCATGCTTATTACTCGCCATTTTCGACGTGAGAAACTGTTTTTACTTAAAAATTCCGAATTTTTGAAGCAAGGTTTTGTGACTGTAAATGTACTCTGTAGTTATTTATAATGACGGTCTAATGATACAAGTTGTTGCAAAAATTGTTAAAATAAAACGAGTTATTAGTCATGTTTCCTGAAATAACGAAAGAACTTAATTAACTGACAAAATGAACACCGCAAATATTTTCGCAAGCTCTTAATTCAAGGCTTTACTTAACTATGTACAACATTAAAAAACCTTTTCACATAAAAAATGAAAGCATTTTAATGAAAAATGCTAAATTAAAACAATTCCTAGAACATAATTTAAAAAATTAATGCGCCCACACACCGAAAATGAAGCCCTATTTTCATAAAACAGCCTAGTAATGAAAGCTCAGCGTTAATTGCAGAAGGTAAGCTGATGGGGGTGAGTAGATGAATTCAAGCTTTGTAATGTATAAAATAAAGATCAAATTCAAACCTTAGTATCATGTTCTGTGTGGCGTCGCCGCCTCACCTGTTAGTAAGGTCGACCGCGTGGATAGCCGCGCCCGAACCTTACCAGCAACACGCCTGTAACAAATACAAAGATTCTTTATAAATGGACATAATAAAAAGCTATAAATATATTCCCAAACAAATCGAATATTGTGATATTTTGCACAGGATTTGTGAGAATGTTGCATCTGAAAATGTCTACCAGTTTATTCGATCTTGTTGATTCTTGCTATAAAAAATAATTATATTTGACAACTAGTCAGAGGAATATCAAAGTCAAAATCAAAGTCAAAGCCAAAATCATTTGTTTCAATTAGACCAGGAACGCATTTTTGAACGTCAACAACAAAAATTTAGAAGTGAAGCTAGTTGTAGCTTGTGTAAATCATTTATTAGGGTATCCTAATTATTTTTTATTTTATTTATTAGGGTTTGATA